AGTGACCCGTTAATTAGGATTCTGAGTAATGAGCTGTAGCCCCTCCCCATAAAGTGCTGCTGTGAGTGGGAGTGACTCTGGCAAGAGGCAGGGAGGCCCGGGGCTGGGTGATGAAGAGTTTGCCCTGGTCAGGGAAACCATCTGTTCTGGATTTTCTGGAATTCTGATTTCAAATATTTCTACTCTATTGCTCCCATAAGGATATATGTGCTTGACAGGGTCTGACAACTGGGGTTCAGAAAATATAGTCCCCTAAGCCCTGGGATCCATCTTAATTCATCTCAACAGAGCTCCCTTTTGAAACAAAGAGATAAAGAATATTGAAAATGAAAAACCTTCATTGGGGTTTCTGAAATCCCAGCCTTGTAGTACAGGGTTCTCACAGCCCCTACGATTTCCAGGGAGTAGGAGGGCCATTGAACCCCAGACTGGACCCAGAATCATCCGGGGGTCTGTGGATTGGCCGGACATGTCCCCTGGGACCACACTCTGAAGCCCATCGGGACAGCATCATATAAGAATACATACTAGGAGCACTGACACAGCTGATAGCTGAGCGGCCTCTACTGGAATACTAGGAAAATACAGTCTAGCAGAGGGATGCAAAATGAAACCTGGGCAGGCAAGTTTCAAAACCCCCCACACTCCTCACACCCCCAGATTTCTTTCCTACAGAAATACAAGCACGCTCCTGCTTCCACGTTGACTGGCAGGCAAGCTTCCGTACCTCCTACGATCCATTCCAGGGAATAACCTTCGATGCATAACAAATCACAGAGACCTTGGAAATTTTTCTGAACAGCAGCTCTCTCCACCTCCAAGAAAAACAATGAAGTTTGGTTTGGGTGCAGCTTATTCCCTTGATGTGATTTGCACATGGTTCTACCGGTTCAGGGAACTTTCAGCCCTGGGCATCAAATCTCAGCACAGCCCTTTTCAAATAGGAGGTCTGAAAACCAAGACATATAGTGGCTGTTCTTTTTTAAATGCATCACTTCATTTGCAGAGCACTTGTTCTTTTTATTCGTCTCTTTAAAACATAAAACCCATTCCACAGTGCACACCCATTCGTATAAGCTGAATTCCAGTGATGCTTCGAGCAGATGCATGCTATCCCATTCTGTGGGCATGCACTGAGGAGGGGTGAGGCCTTATATCTTCATGTAAATTAAAAGTTGTCATCAAAGTGGAATTATTTAACCACTATTAAGGGTTATTAATAATCGTGTGTGGTATACTATTTTTCTGTGGTTTTGGAGACTGATACAACCTATTAAACTTAATAACAGTATTTGAATATGGATACTTAACAGGAATATTGGGCCTAAGATTATAAATTTAAAGACATTTAGGATTTAATTATTAACTGTCTTTTAGTTGGTTCTCCTTGTACGGAGCACCATGCCAGATAGTTTATACACATAATCTCTTTTAAACCTAATGAAATAAGTACTATTATCTTCATGTTATGATTAAGGAAACTGAACATAGTCACTAAGTGATTGAGTGGGAACTCAAACCCATCTGTCTGACTGAAAAGTCTGTGATCTTTCCGTTTTGCTTTCCTGCCTCCTGAGTAATTGTTCTAAGTGTTGGCAAGAATAATCCACTTCTAAAGTACTCTACATAGGAGGATGCTGACCGAATTGGAGAAAAAAAAAAATCAAGACAAATAGAATTTCAAATCAGAAAGGTCAAATTAAAGGAAAGGTTCGCCTGGAAAAGGATGAATTATAAGCATTCAGCAGAAGGTTTTCATACAAAGATGACTTTGGAAAAGTAATGTGGTTCTAAACAGTGTCTCCAACCCAAATTACATGAATGCATTTGCAATCTTGAAGACCAGAATCAAACTGCACACAAAACAGCAGTAAGTGCTTCCAGAAAGACCCAAAACACAAATTTGCCAAAAGCACAGCTTTTGAATAACAGATTTGAAAGCCCAGATAGAAGGTGCCTGCAAAGATGACTTTGGCTCTTCTTCGGAACACTTACTAAAAGCATTATACATAATGCAAAAAATAACTTCAAATGATTAATTAATCTTAAACTTAACCTTTCCTAAAATTAAATGCCTCCAGTCTAAGGGCCTAGCTGCTCAGTCTGGAAGGAATTTAGTTAGCATTTATAAACTGTCAGTGTAAATATCTTTTCAAGAGACATGTATGATTGTTTTAATTCAAGAAGCCAATTCAGCGTTTATAAAAGGTAACTAAATCCATCAGCCTGCCTGTCCGTTTTGCGTTTTGCATTAATAAGACTGTATGCTTCATAATTTAATTCTGAAGTGTACAATTCAAGTGGGTTTAGATTAATAATAATAATGCATATATTAATATATAAGTTTACTGTGTTGCAATAGAATCGAAGTAAAGAAACTTTATCCTCAAAACTTCATGATCCATAAGAGTTTATAAAGTTTAGGTAGGCCTGATGGCATCTGCCCTTCTTTGATCTCCCAAGCCCAACTGGCCCAAAGAAGCAAACACTAACCAGTCTTTTGTGTGCCCAGCCTGGCACAGTGTTTGGCTGCTAAGTGAAAGATTCAAGGTTCAAATCCACCCAGGGCCACCTCGGAAGAAATTCCTGGTGAAATACTTCCAAAAAATCATTCTTTGAAAACCCTGTGGATCACAGTTCTGCTCTGACACTCATGGGGTCACCATGAACCAGAGTAGCCTTGACAGCAACTTTTTTTTCTGGTTTTCAAACAACTCCTAGGTTGCAGCTTTGATCCCTAAAAAGGTTTCTGCATTTCACCAAGGAAAACATACCTTCCATTGTTGAAAAGAACTCCCAAGTGCATTACAACCAGGGCTTTTTACTCCTGGTTCAAATAGCACAACTCACTAGGCTCTGAAGGGCTTTCAGACCAATTTCCTCAGTTCCCAGTAAGGAGACAGGCTCAAAGAGCAGTGGGCAGCTCTGAGGTTCATACCTGGGCCTGACTCCAAGGCTGGTGCTCCTCTTTTAACGCTGGCAAAGCTGGGGTCTCTGAGCCTGCCCATGTCATGGAAAAACAGCATGTTCAAGTAATAATACCTCTTCTCTGTCCACAATGTCAAGGAGCCCTAGTGGCATAGTGCCTAAGTTATTTGACTGCTAACCAGAAGGCTGGCAGTTCAAACCCACTAGCTATTCCTCAGAAGGACGATTGGGCAATCTACTTCTGTAGTGCTACTGCCTCGGAAACCCAAGGAGGGGTCGCTATGAGTCGGATCTGACTCAATGGCAGTGTGTTTGGTTTTGGTTTTTTAGTCCACAACGCCTAACCAACAATCTTAAAGTGAGGCTGTCTAGACAAACAGCAGGGTAATGGGCCTCACACCAAGCCTTGCTTGATGCCCAGAAGGTGAACCCAGAACCTCTCCTCCTTAGCAGCTGGGAACCAGGACAGGGGGCAGAGAAGGGGGATTGGAGAAACAGAGTAGAAAACCAAAAGGTAGAATCAAATTGGTGTAATGGGGAGATTTGTCTGAACAATGCCTTAATCACATATTCCAATACGGCCTTGCGTTGAGCTGAGTCCATTTACATCTTAGATCCGCCACTTAAATTATCAGCCCTATGAAGCCAGGAGGAGGCTGGCGGTTCAAACCCACCAGCCACTCCTCGGAAGGAAGATGGGGTAATCTACTTCTGTCGTGATACTGCCTCGGAAACCCAAGGAGGGGTCGCTATGAGTCGGGTCCGACTCGACGGCACATAATAACAACAACAACAACATGAAGCCAGGAGCCATTCTGGAAATATCCATTCAGTATTTCCAAGTGGAAAAGCACTCCATACATTTCTGTCATAAGAAGCATAGAAGGCATGTGCTTCCTCAGATAACAAATGAGTACAAGTTTATCTTTCTCTAGGAGCTCACATTAATCCTGCTAATCTTTGAGTTGATAAAGATGTTATGTCAAGAGCAAATGTTTCTAGAAGTCACCAGCTAACTTCCCAAAGCCTGGTTTCTTAATGAACTAATCAGATCAGCCCTAAGACATATTTGTTTCAAACATGTACGTTCTACCTCAGACCAAAAAAAAGCAAACTCACTGCTGTCAAGTCAGATCCGATTCATAGCAACCCATCCTTGGGTTTCTGAGGTGGTATCACTATGGAAGTAGATTGCCCAATCTTTTTTCCGAGGAGGGGCTGGTAGGTTTGAACCACCATCCTCTGGTTAGCAATCAAATGCCTTAGGCACAATGCCACCAGGGCTCCTTCTACCTCAGAAGAGGGAGGTTTTCAACCAAAATATTTAGTAAGTGGCTAATCCAGGTCTAGTGCTGGGCTTCCATATGTAAATGGTAAATGAGGGCCCATGAAGGCCGGAAGCTTACTGTAACCCAACAAGATTCCCCTTGGCACAGACTAGGTCCAAAAATATATTCTTACCCAGAAAGCCTCATTAACTTGGACTGCTGAAGTAATTCAAACTAGGCCTTTGCTTTCTCAATGAAATTTTTTTTTAAAAGTTAGATAGAGCTAATTAATAGCATAAAGTATCACTTAAATTACCTTTCAAGCATTCTCAATTACCTTAGAAGCAGCAATTGACAATCATTTGGTATATGAGATATGAATCAACTTTATCTAATTCATTAAAACAGGTCCCCCAGAGCCCTGGCCAGACCATACTTTGATAGCCTAGTTAAAGTGAATGAACTATTTGTACCTGGAAGCAATGGAATTAAATTTCCTCAGCAATTCCCTTCCATATAATCTGACTTTTATATTTTTACCATACTTTATAGCATTTCTATCTTAAAGGAAAAAATATCTGCATTCTATGTAGCTGTATTAGGTCTGACTTGTTTTCAGTATTCTCCTGGAAGACCCTTTCCTTCCCTGGCACTCAGTTCATCCCTCTGCTAAATGAGGGCCCTCATCTCAGAGGTTCTGATCACTCAGACAGCTCCATACTGTTGCATCAGACATGAGGTATCAGAATCATTCAACCAACAAGACTTCATTGCAGGCTTATTTTATGCCCAGCATATTAAATTGTAGTCGTGGCCGAGTGGTTAAGGTGATGGACTAGAAATCCATTGGGGTTTCCCCGCGCAGGTTCGAATCCTGCCGACTATGGAGACTTTTTTAAAGGAGCTCTGGTGGCACAGTGATTAAAGAATTGGGCTGCTAACCAAAAGGTTGGCAGTCTGAACTCACCAGCTGCTCTATGGGAGAAAGATGAGGCAGTCTGTTTCCATAAACATTTATGGCCTTGGAAATCCCCATTGGACAGCTCTTGCAACAGTTCTACTCTGACCTAAACGGTTGCTATGAGTTGCAATCGACTCAATGGCAGTGGGTTTGGTTTGGTTTTTTGGATACTAAATTAGTAAAAATAGATACACACACACTTAATTTTGTCCATGTGCTTAAGGAGTTATAGTACATCTGGAAAAGTAGAATTTAAATTTATCATGTTTACATATATAATTACAGCTCTGGTGGTGTAGTGCCTAAGGCATTTGACTGCTAACCAGAAGGCTGGCAGTTCAAACCCACCAGCCACTCCTCGGAAGGAAGGTTGGGCAAT